CCCCAAAACCCCAAAACCCCAAAACCCCGGGAGCAGTCATAAGTGCTGATAGTTATAGTATAAAAAATTCAGTATAATTTAAAGTGCTCAAATTTATTAAAAATTTAATAATCCAACAGACATATCGTAAAATATGTACTCTAAATAACCCAGAGCTGCCTCAGGTTCGAGTCCAAAATATTCAAGGTATCTAGCTTTATATATTCAAATTTTCCTATAGTAGTAAGGAAAGAGCAATGCAGCTACTATAATCTCAAAATTATCAGTATGTATCAGGTGTGAACAACAAGTCTCCTTCAAATACTAAGTCCAAAACAGGATAAAATTCACATCCATTGAGAGAGTCTAGTTAGAATCCCACCAACAGAGGTAATAATGAGCAACTAGACTTTTATCAAATTAACAAAAATGAAAAAGTGAATGCCAAATACTCAACTCATCAGGGTAAAAAAGTCTCAACTAATCAAGGTAAACTCATTGATATTTTCCAATTTTTTACTCACGCACTTTTTAGACTAGAGTCGGTCTTCAACTTCTTCAACAACATCAGAGGAGGAAACTACAACCTTAGATAAGAAAATCCAAAGTTTAATTACTCAAGTTCAAAAAGAAGTAGATGAAAACTAACCCTCGACTCGAGGACAAAGCAGTAATAGAAACTAAGTTTAAGATAAAGCTCCAGTCTCAAACAACGTACCAATGATCTATTAAGCTCAACATTAACCCTCGGCTTAAGAAATAAAACAGCTCTCCTAATAAATGCATTAACGACAGCTATAAAATAACGCAATTTCCCCTACAAGATTAGCACAAATGGGAGATCCGTTACTGCCTCCTCAAACTGAGAGAGATAGAGGCAAAAAGACATTGGTACTTGATCTCGATGAAACTCTAGTTCATTCAAGTTTTAAACCTATTGACAATCCTGATATCGTTCAAGGAGTAGATATTGATGGAAAGATATAGTATGTCTATGTTTTGAAGAGACCACTTTGCGAGGAGTTCATTCAAAGAATGAGTCACAGTTATGAAATCGTTATGTTTACTGCTAGTTTATCTAAATATGCTCAACCACTTTATGGAAAATTAGATAGAGCATTAGTTACTGCAACTCTCCTCTATAGAGAGCATTGTACTATGTATAATGGCTTGTTCGTTAAAGATATGGCAAGACTAGGCAGACCTATGACTGACATAATTATAATTGATAATTCCCCTTCAAGTTATCTCTTCTAGCCTGAAAATGCTCTGCCTTGTACATCTTGGTATGATGATCCCGCAGATAGAGAGCTTAATGAATTAGTACCGATTCTTGAAAAGCTAGCTATAGTAAAAGATGTTCGTCCATATTTGACCAAAATAGTCAACGAAAATAAAGTTGACTTTAATAAAGCTAAGGAATTGCTAAACATTGGCTAGTTTATGAACCCAGAGGATGAATTCTAAAGTATCAGGTAAAATGGTGTGTTCACACCTCAGAAGTAAAAGCCAGATAGTGAAAGAGTCCCAAGTGGAATTAAACAAAGAGAGATGACTCACACCCCTTAATCATATAGCTAATAAAATCTAGCTGGATATTAAGCGGGAAGTCAATATTCATTGATTGGAACCCAATAAAAACTTCAAAAAACTAATACTTAGAGTCAGAGTAAACTATTATCTCATGCAGTTAATTAATAACAACAATAGCTTCAAGTTCTGCAATCATCTATTGAACAATTGAAACAACAGCAGTAATGTCATCAGAAATAGCAAAGCTAAATAGAGGATATGAAGAAGCGTTTGCAAGTTAATTAATGGTAACCATCCAGCAATCAAGATCCTAAGAACGATATAAGAGGTTCATAGGAAAATATTAGACAACCTCTTATGCAGTCACAACATTAGGCTATTACAAGAACTCCATCAGCTCAAGTTAAGACTGTAAAATAAGATCTAATACCCAGCAAACAAGACAAAGAAAACCAACAAAGAACTCTTTCAGCTGGATATTAAACATAAAGTACTAATTAATTCTCTCTCTCAGACTAGAAATATCAAGAATACATGAAATCTCTATAAAAACATCAAAAGAGATCAGGCTCCCAACCAAATAACATCAACAATAATTCAAATAATGGCACTAGCATGCAAAAGTAAATGGAGCTTAAATCTGGAAGATTACTTTCAACTTAGGCTACTATAGATGCTGATTAAACTGTCGATACTCAGAGAAAATCAAGCCACCAAAGTGATTCAAGGAGAGGTTATGATATCAATTAGAAGAGAGCATCATCTGCTTAAGTGAGATAGCCTAACTAACCTCACTATTCTTCATCATCCAACAAATCAAGGCCAACTACTACATCAAGTCATTAGACTAACAATTATTCGTCGAGCAATTATAGATAGCATACTAAGTCTAATGGCTTAACACTTAGCGGAAGTTCTAAGACTATGAAAGTAAACTAGCCAAAGCTTGGCATTAATTATTAGAGTACACCTGACAAAACATCAAATGGTCCAGCTACTCTAAATTACAACAGATCAGGATAGATCTGCTCTGCAAATCAAACTCCCAAGGGCACTCACAATCAATTATCAAGTAGTCTGAAAAATCAATTGCATTCCTAATAATCAGCTACTCAGACTCAAAGTAAGAAAGATAGCTCATTTTCGACTCTCCAATAGAAAAATTAAGATCTGAGAAAGAACTTTGCCAACTATATTCAAAAAATTGAGAGTACAAATCCAAGTATTGGATCATAATCGGCTTCAGTCAAATCAGCGTCCCTCAAATTAAAGGAATAAAGCTCAACAAAGAATTAGACTAACAAGTATATTCAAAAATTTGAGAGTTAAAGTAGCATCCCAACTTCAGCACAATAACTTCATCAAGGAAATGATAATATCTAAACTTAGCTTCTTAGTCATTCTAAAATGTTGTCCACCAATTCAATAAATAACAATCATCAATAAACTTCATAGAACTAGCAATAGTAGAATAAAAATCATCTCTCCTACTCTTCCATATATGCAAAGCTCAACCAAGCTTAGTAAAACTTTTCCCTGAGTCCACCATCTCACAGTGCTACTATGAGTTCTCAAACTCAGCACTAGCAACAGAATAGCTATCCAGTAAAACCGCAACACTCACAGTAGCTTTAACAAAATAACTCAGCTGCCGCTACTTTGATGATGAATGTGAATAAATCTTCAAATAACTCAATAAGTTTGAATGTGAATAACAGCCCTGCTGTGAATTTGATAGCCTTGCAAATGCTAAAGAATGCTCAGTCTCCCTATCACAACAAGCACACTAACAACTAATGAATAAGTTTATAACTCCAAATGTAGGCTACGACATAAAAATATAAATACTGACGCTTTCTTTGAATGAAACTACTATTAATAAACCTACTTCAATGTTGAATTTATCTTATTTTAAATTAGCTAATAAGTTATTCTAATTCAAATCTGATCTACAATTCACTCCTTAGGGGTTTTGGGGTTTTGGGGTTTTGGGGTTTTGGGG